GCACACTTATATTTTAGAACGGTCATGTAGTGAATGGATTTAGAACTTCACATTTTGTGTAAAGTTTCCACAATGATAATAATGACTGAACTCGACTCAAGCACATTTTTGCATGCACAGTCAAGAATTCAAACCCCAAAAATCTGGTGTCTCGCACTCTCGCAAGTGGTCCATGAGAGTGGTCCACAAGAGTGGTCCACAAAGGTAGTCCACAGACCTGGGGTCCGCGTTTTGTCGTTTCCCTTACAGTAAGGCTTTTTGTAATGCTATACTGGGAAAATAGTTACATTTTTAGGGGTATACTTTACTAGGCTTTGTTTTAAGCTGAATAATTTGACCGGCCAGAAATTCGGTGAAAGTTGACCAGTGACCGTTCAGCCATTATTTTGTGCCCTGCTTGCAAGGTTAAATAACACATAATTGATAATTCAACATAATTGTTTGACTTCTGCCTTTTTGGGTGGCAAATGTTTAGAGCTACATAAGAACATACACAAAAACGCTTCCAATAGCCGACAAAATTTTACAGGTTTACTTCGGTAGAACTGCATGCAGTTTATCACTTTTTTAATACGAATTCAGAAAGGGAATTTTTGGCAAATTTAGACAGTTCTAATTTCCTTGCTGTACTGTGTTATTTTTGCAACCCAAAATTCATATATTTTAAGAATTGTAGAATCTGCCCTGGCTTGATTCATACTTATGATAACTAGAATGGGCAAATTTTTAATGTATGATAAGTATCGTTATTATATATTCAAAGTCTATTCTCATCCGTGATATGGTCAAAAGGCATCGGATAATTATCGGTATCTTGAAGCCGAGTCACATTATTTAAGCTGCTGACACCATCATTAGCGTGCAATGTGATCTATTAATTGCACGTGATTATATAAGGAGGGTTGAGGAGAAATATTTAACGAAAGGTGCGGTTACAAAGTTTGAAAAATACAAATTTGTTGAAATTTAGGTCTTGCCCAAGTTCGCCCGGTGTCACAGTACAGCTACCTATACCTTTGCGTTATTGATTAGTGGGTAATATTAGATGACATACGTAGTATAGGTCAGGTTCAACGAAATGGCCTGAAAATCGACGAAAGTAAAGAAAATAATGACACGTACAGTAAACAAGCAAGTCCACCAATATTTTGAATCTGTGCATATTTTGGCATTATTTGTTTTACAAATTTTTACAATATATAAAGTGTATATTATATCACATTCATATGTTTTTCTGTCATTATATAAAACTAAAACCATCCCCAAATCACACAGAATACATGAAGGAAACTAAGTAAGTCATACTTTATAATTTAGTAAATTTTTAATAAATAAATACCCATACAGAGCCTGGGCTACTGTGGGCAAACTTGCACATGCGCTTGACCCCCCACAGATCAGTTGTTTGAAAAGGGAGTTAACAAAAACTTCAATTTTCCCAAGCTTCTTTATAAGCAAGCTTCTTTATAAACATGGACATATTTCTCCAAAACCTTGTCTGGATCAATAGAAGTTCTAGATTTCGCACGTTTTTGAAACAAACGCCCATGCAGATACAGCAGAATTCAATTAATTCAGAGTTGGCTCGGAGCTTTGCCTCAGGCCAAGGGCGCTTGTTTTTTTTTAATACATTGAACCCTTTGCTTCTAAATTTTGCTAGTTTGAAGTAAAATACTAGATTTTCCTAAAGCTACATCAACGATTTTCTTCTTAGAATCGAGATACAACGAATAAAACGTTATTAAAACACACTAGTTTAACAAACAAAACCGCAGAACGTACAAGAAACAACAAAGAGATTTTATACAAAATGGCCGCCTGTATAGTTTGTTTGAAAATCCCACAAAACAGCCGATATTTTATAAACCGATATTTTGTCGCTTCATAAACTACAACAGGCCATGAAATGGGGAGAAAATTGAGGTTACATTACAGCACAAATGTGTGCTTTTAATACAGTATTATCACAGAGATCTTTTGATCAAACCCGAAGGGGAAGCTTGGCGTGAAAGCATGGTTGTTATAATACAGATTTGCATGGATTGAGAATAAGGCATTAATTAAACACACACGTACAGTACAATTTACAGTACTCAAGTATACACACTAACCTTCAATCGAACTACAATTTGTAGCTTCTGTACCGCAAGCGGCGAAAACAAACAACAAGAATCTGACCCAAGGCACTCGCATATTTTATGTCCTTTTTTTAAACCGTAGAATTGAACACATAAACCGTATATTCCCTCGTCAATTCAGTTTCGCTTTGGGAATCAAACCTTGTAATTTCAAAGCTCTGTCTTTTGTTCGTTATATCGCGTGATTTTTGCTTGGATAAACGCCAATAATAAAACACAAAGCCAAAGGCTTAAATAAAGCACGATTGAAATTCGTCTCCGTACAGCGAAGAATATTTCCAACTTTTACAAGCGAATTGAGACGACTTTACTGCCAATCTACAGCCCGATAACTGTTCGATTTCTTGTAGAAAATGTCCCAGAAGCAGGAATACAAGGAACATGAATTAGATCATGTATTTTATGCCGTATTCTGCGCATTTCCGCTCTCGGTACATGATCAAAACATTGATTGACACTACCTAAACTATTTTGCAACATTCAAAAACATTCGAACCATGCCTCTGAACGTAGCCCGCGTGCAGGCCCAAGGGACTGATAGTGGCCTTGTCCCTTGGGCCTGCACGCGGGCTACTCTGAACGTGACCGGAAAAAGTGCCCGGGGCATTTTCCCTATCACTGACTTTGGTACAACTGGACAGCTGATAATTATTTAGATTTTAGTCAGAGATTTTAGTCTTGTGTTTCGTTGCAAAATACAATGCGCGACTAAGTGGGGGTTTGCTGGAAACGAGGTTGCTTGCAACTGAGAACTTAGCTGAATTGCGAAGAATGCGGCTCAAATGGTCGAAGGGTGTAACCCCCCCCCCAAAGAAAAGTAAAAAAAGGAGGCCCGACTTGCACAGAAGGAGCCCGGAATGCTGGAATTGCGGAACGTGTTAAATATTAAGGAATTTTCTGAAAAATTGAGGAAGCATTTTTAACCCCCCATTATCTCAAACTAGTGTTTGGAAAAATCTTTGGGACGTTTTGTTTTCGAAAAAACGTCGACCGGAGGAAACGCACGACTTTCGGAGATCAAGCGGCACAGGTTTTTAATAAACTTCCTGCTAAACTCAGAAACTGCAGCAACTTTGCGCAGTTCTCGAGCGAAGTTAAAACGCACCTAGCAGAGAGAACTTCTTAATTATACAAATATCATACTGTAATATTTTTAGCATGTACATAGTTATAATAAAGCCATTATTTATTTATTTATTTATTTACTAGCTTTGTTATAAATGACTGCTGATCCCTACAGGGCTTATTGCCCCATTCACAGGGTCCCTTAAACTAAACATTTACTTCAATTACAACACATTTTATCTACAAGGCTCGACAAAAAACGACACGACATTTTTTTTATTTGAGAACCATCCTCAGAGATACGAAAAACTAGTTTCATATTATGCTTGTTGATCACAGTTAACCCTCTGATTGAAAACTGATCTGCGTCTTGGGGTTGTTTACATCTCCATAGATTCTTGCTTTGAATTCAGGAGGGCAAAAGGCCTCCTTTCCTTCAGTTTTCTTGTTGTTGTTTCTCTACTTGTGAGCTTTCTAAAAATAATTACAAAACGCATTAATAATTCATGAAGAAAACACAAAGAAAAATCATAAGCGTGTCGTATCTGTATATGTGATACAGATTCATGTTGATTTACATAAACTTTAACTTTGATTTTCTCGGCTTAGACAACGTTTATTTTTAAAATTACTTCGCCAATGAACTCATATGATGAGTCGTTTTTTAATCCGATACAACACGGCCGCTCATGTTGTAAATAGTACTTCTAAATTATTTTACTTAGACTTAGTCGATATCATATTTTGTCTTCCTTTTCTTGCACGCCCTGTGTGGAAATCAACTTCGCTTGACAGGGTTAGCGTGGGGAAATAAAGTTTTTCTATTCTATCTATTCGTACTACGACCTCTCACTCGCTTAGTACGTATCTGATTAACCAATCAGATATATCAAACGCATCTGATTGGTTCATTGGACATATCAAACGCATCTGATTGGTTCATTGGATATATCAAACGCATCTGATTGGTTAACCAGATATATCAAACGCTTCTGATTGGTTAATGATCGCTTAACGGTAACGTAAGTCAAATCTGAACATCTATACTAGCCTATCGGAAGGGAAATTATAATCAAACAACTGAATATTGAAGGAATCTGATTTTGCTTGCAAAGGTGAAAGGCACAGTGACTCACTAACCATTGTGCCGTGAACACATTCATACAAAGATTGTCTTTAAAGTTTTTTTATGATTATCACGAATGGGTCTAACCCGACTCTAAACATTGTTAAGGTAAACCACGGCAACTATTGAATACCTTTTTGGTCTGAGAAGTAGATATATAAAAACAACCACAACAACGATTAAAACCACGGCAGCCACGACAATTATGATCAATACTGTTGGATCATCCTTTTCACCACCTACAGGCACTGGTCGTGGAACTAAATAGAGCGAAATACAAACGTAAAAACGCACAAGTTGTTACAGGTCTGCAAACAAGTTGCTACAAATCTGTTCATAAGCTATCAACAAGTTGTGTTCGCACTGCTTGTTCCCAGTTGTTGGAACAAGTTTGGAACAGGCTGTTGACAACTTGTAACAAGCTTGATGGCATTACAAGGTTGTTCTACCAAGTCTGTCACTGTCACGATATAACAAAAATGTTACAAGGTTGACGACATAAGGTTGTAACAATATTGTTATATGACTTATACAATCGTTATTGTATCGGACTTGTTAGAATGACCTTGCAATTGCAACAAGTCTGATAGTGTCAACAAGGTTGTAATACAAGTTATTGTCAGCTTGTTCCAGGATTTTACGCGTGTAACTTTGAAAAGACAAGTTTAGCACGTGACAGACGATGGTCAACAGAATGAGATGGTACAGTAATGTGGTATGGTGCAATGTGTGGTCTAACATGATGCAATTATGTGGTATGACATGGTGTAATGATGTGGTATGACATGGTACAGTAATGTGGTATGGTGCAATTATGTGGTATGACATGGGTAGGCCTGATCAGGGCTTTCAGGTATATTGGTATTTAGACCATATTCCTATTTGCAATACAGTGTTTAACTGCTGGGTAGTATCCTATATCTACGCAAGATTAATACACAAGCAGACAAACGTCGCCTGGAATAGTAGGTATATGGGTATACTGTATTGAGTATATTGGTAACCCTAGGTCTGCATGACATATGGAGTTTGATATGGTTTGGTATGGTACAGTATGGTATGGTATGGTATGGTATGGTATGGTACAGTATGGTATGGTATGGTATGGTACAGTATGGTATGGTATGGTACAGTATGGTATGGTACAGTATGGTATGGTATGGTATGGTATGGTACAGTATGGTATGGTACAGTATGGTATGGTTTGGTATGGTACGGTATGGTATGGTACAGTATGGTATGGTACATAGTATGGTATGGTATGGTACAGTATGGTATGGTATGGTACAGTATGGTATGGTATGGTATGGTACAGTATGGTATGGTACAGTATGGTATGGTACAGTATGGTATGGAATGGTATGTTACAGTATGGTATGGTATGGTACAGTATGGTATGGAATGGTATGGTACAGTATGGTATGGTATGGTACAGTATGGTATGGTTTGGTATGGTATGGTTTGGTATAGCAGATTGGCGTAACATAGTAATTACAGTACTAACCTTTTATTTTAAACAACTCTATTGGTGTGGTACTTGGCCCGTCCCCGCCATTGGAACAAAATATCAGTTGAATCTTATAACGTCCATCTAGTTTCAACCCTGTCAGTGTGTAGTTTATGTTGGTTGCACTGGTATTCCTGTAATAAGTGTAATTTTCATCCTTGCCTTCAAATCGTATCTTAATCTTGATTATTGTTGCTAGGCCATTCCAGGAGCTTTTTTCTGGCAGCTGTGGGAAAGAGAATTACTCAGAATGTAGACTATAAAAAAATAAAAATATCTAAAATGTCAAGGTGTAGTTGGGAACTATCTGACAAATAAATGTGGGACTGTCCAACTTGCTAGTTGACATATTTTATAATAATGTTTTGTGTAATGAACTGCCTCAAAAAGATTAAATCTTAATTACCTTCCAAAATAAGGTAATATTTCGTTCTGTTTCATCTTTTACGACAGGACATTTTTTTTGTTTTTGGTTTTCGTTGCCACACAGCATTTCAAGAGGCTTTGATGGCACTAAGAAAAATATAATGAAATCAAAGTAAATATGGTCTAGAGAACCAACAAGAATCATATATTTTATTGACTTGAACTGTTTTCCCAAGAGATCCAGTAAACTGGGTCATCTCTTACTGTAAGTACAAGAATAATACTACAAGAGAACTAAAAACTAATTAATTACTAATAACCCTTAAGCTGGATAGCTCTACCCTGTTCTAAATTGTTTTCCCTAGAGGTCCAGTAATTATTCTGAACTGGACCTCTAGGGAAAACAGTCTAGAACAGGGTAGAGCTATCCAGCTTAAGGGTTATTAATAATTAATTAGTTTTTAGTTCTCTTGTAGTATTATTCTTGTACTTACAGTAAGAGATGACCCAGTTTGCTGGATCTCTTGGTGCCCACTCATAAAATCATTTCGGGTTAGTCAGAATAATTAAAATAACAAAGTAGAGTGCATTGGGATTATTGCCGCTTATAGGGTTAATACTAGAAATTACTATCGCAAAGGAAAGTGCTGCCTCCCCCCCCCCCCCCCCCCCCCC